TGTTTCCAATGCTCTATCTATCTTATTTGATTGTTCCTGTAGCACTTTTCTGACTTCTTCCTTATTTTTCTCAACTGCATTGTGTAGTGTTTTGATACCTTTTATAATCATTTTTCTGAATTCCTTCTCAGGCATTTCCAAAGCCTGCCCATCTTCTAGTATGGAGTGTAGGTCTACTTCCCGCTCATTTGCCTCAGTCACTTTATCACATTTCTGGACATGTGCAGATATGGTCATCTGCTTCTGTTTTTTGGGCATCTTCAGGGGTTATCTATGGACTTAATATTTAGATGGGTATGTATTTTGGTATTTTTTATGCTTTCTGAATGCCTCCAGGTAGATGTGATCAGGAAATGGGTTTCCCTTTTTACCCTTTTTCTTGAGCAGTTTCAAGATACCACTGTTGATCATTTTGACATAATTTAGGATTTAATTTTCGGCCTATTTCCTCTTTTGTCTGCTTGTCCTGCTCCACAGTCCCTGTTCAGGCCTTTTTTCTAGTTAGAAACAGTTCAGGGCCAGCTGTGGCCGTTTGGTTTTAATTGGAAACTGTCTCTTTATATTTCGAGGAGATCTCTGCGCAAGGTAGTAGAATCCTCCAAGGGTGGGGCTGGGGTGCCCACTAGTTCAGGCACCCCTAGTAACCAGAATGAAGGTGCGCAGACAGCAAGGGACCAATGAACAGATACCAAAAGAAAAGAATATCCATACCTTTATCTCAGTGGTTCTACCAGGTGTCTGTGGCAGCTCCGATCCTTTCCCCACATGGTCTCACCCAAGATGTCAGCTTCTGGGGCAGCCGAGCGTCCCGGACTAGAAAGCAGTAGATATCTTCCTTCTGCCACAAATTCCCCCAGCTGTGAGCCTTCCAACCTTCTAAATATTCCTTTATATGTGGTTCAGAGTTCTGGGACCAGCCCCTGAGCCTGCTTGGTTGGGTATTCTGTGTTGTTGTTGGCGGAGCTCCTTTACTGCACTTCTACCCAGTCCGCCATCTTGTTTGTTCTCCCAACAATGGCTTTTTTGGAGGAGATTCAAATGTTCTTTCTGAAACTATAAACCCAAATTAATGTAAGTATCATTTATCTTTTTCTGTTTCTTGAAAGTACAAGTTTTAATTATAACAAATTCAGATCATACAAAGCAAACATGAACATGTTTTGTTGTTAACATTAATAATCTATTCAGTATCTTTTTCAATTTATCAATTATATTAAATATTGGACTTAATACCCAAAACCAAACCCACTGCCATTGAGTCGATTCTGACTCACAGTGACTCTATGTAGGGTTTCCAAGACTGTAAATCTTTATGGGAGTTGGCAGCCTCATCACTGACCTTGCAGTTGGCAGTCCAGTATCTAACCTGCAGTGCTGCCAGGGTTCCTTGTAGGCTTTATATATACTCACTGCCATTGAGTCGATTCTGACTTTTTTCGACCCTTATATAGGTTCTCTGAGACTGCAAATCTTTGTGAGAGCTGACGGCCTCATCTTATCTCTTGCTGACTGGGACCCTCATCCTTGTGGTTAGCAGCCCAACTCCTAACCCACAGCACCAGTAGAGCTCTTTTTCAACTTATTGTTGTTGTTAAGTAGTATCAACTTGGTTCTGACTCATAAGGACCCTGTATAGGGTTTCCGAGAAATGGCTGGTTTGTTTCAACCACCAACCTTGTGGTTCTCAATCCAGTGTTTATCCTACAGTGCCACACCAGGAGTCTTACTGAGTTAGTAGATACTTAAAATTGAAAGGAAAAATATTTTTGAAGTAGTTTAATTTTACTCTGTTTCTTGTAGTCACTCCATGGATTCTTTTGGGCAACCCAGACCTGAAGATAACCAGTCAGTAGTCAGCAGAATGCAAAAGAAATACTGGAAAACTAAGCAGGTCTTTATCAAAGCCACGGGAAAAAAGGAGGATGAGTATGTGGTGGCCTCTGATGCTGATCTGGATGCTAAACTTGAGGTAAATTTGAGTATTTTATGTTGGATGTTGCATATAACAACCAAAAATCGAAAACCATTGCCATCTTGTTGATTCTGACACGTATTAACCCCCTCTGTATATTGCATATAATAGGTTATTATTTGCAATTCCAAGGGAAACAATATAGCAAGCATTCACACTGAAGGATTTATAGGAATAAATACAAGTTTATTAATACGAGGGTGGGTCAAAAATTATCTGTACTCTGACTGTAGAATTAATTTTAATCAACTTTTAGAAAAGACAAATGCATAATTTTTTGAAATAATCTCCTTGCTTCATAATACACCTTGCCCACCTGTAAACAAACTTTCGTATTCCCTTATTTAAAAATGTTTTATGCTGAGCTGCCAGCCACAAATGCACTGCTGTCTTCATTTCTTCATTAGAAGAGAATCTTTGTCCTTGAAGAACTTCTTTCAGGGGACCAAACAGGTGAAAATCCAGTGGTGCAAGATCAGAACTTTAGGGAGGATGCTTTAACACCTCAAAATGAAGTTTATGTAGAGTGTGTACAGTATGGGCAGAGATGTGCGGATGCATCCTCATGCAACATCACAGTGCCCTGTGATAGCAGTCCTCTGCGTTTAATTCAAAGTGTGGTCTTCAGCTCTTCAGCCTCACTGTAACAAGTACTGTTGCTTGTTGGATCTTTTTCCTAATAGTGTTAAAATACTGGCCCTTGAGAATCCGAGAAAACTATAAATGTCAATTTTGACTTTAGAACTTTTTCTGGGTCAGAAATTGAAGATGTTTCCATTCACATATTCTGCCTTTTATTCTCAGGCTCATAGTGACGAATCCATGTCTCGTGACCAGTAACGATTTTTTTAAAAGAAACTTTTACCTTCTTTCTAGTATTAGACCAAGTTTTTGTTTGCAGATGTCCAAATGCTTCTGTTTATGCTCTTCTGTGAGTTGTTTTGGTACTCATCTCACACCAATTTTTCGAAACCCAGTTTGTTGTGGATTATCATAGGTGGAGATGGCTGATTTGCATATGATTTACCACATAATCCACTGTCACACATCTATTTGACAGAATCATTTCATGTGCATGTTCAGTGCTGTCATCAGAATGGACGTTGATGGGTGTTTTAATATAACTGGAGTACAGATAATTTTTGACTCTCTTATAGAATATTTCGTTGTATCCAACTTTCAATTAGAATTGATGGACCAGGTATTTGCTAAATTTGACAAGTAACTTGTATGAAATATGTATTATAATTTTAAGATAAATAGTAACCTATTTATTATATTACCACTTGGGACCATATATTTATTATATCATAATACTTTGTAATGCCTTGATGGGAGGTCTTATGCCTCACTGAAGTAAATTAATTGAAATCAAATAAAAATGAGGATTATATAAATTAGACCTTTTTTACAGTTGAAGAGCTTCATAGTATCTTTTTGGTTCTGTTTATAAATACATGCAATAATGGCCATGAAACAGCTTTTATATATTTTTTACTTTTTTTATATTTTATACTTTTAAGTAATTAAACTAGCTAGAGGGAACTCTTATATACTTTAAGTAATTTAAAATTATTTTATGATTTTCAAATGCAGTTTTTACATATATTCACTATTTTAAGGTAAGTTTTACAAATATTTCCCAGCAGGGCTTCTGTTATACTTGGAATATAATCATTATGTTTTAATTCTTAAAAAATATAGGTTCAGTTAGATGGGTCTTCATCTACTAATTGTTTTCTTCATTTTGCAAACAGTGAACCTCAGCCATTGCCATAAAAATATGGAAATAGATGACAAATTAATAAAATAATTTATTATTTGTCTTGAAAAATATCCTCCTGGTATTCTCCCTCATGGGGAAAATTAAATGTGCTTTCTACTTCCTGAAGTCAAACCACTTGGTAGGGAGTAGACACCTGTTAGTTTGGGCGATGGGGAAGGCAGTATATAAGAGGGAGTCTGAAGGTAGTAGAAGACACAGGGAGAAGTGCAAGAGCTAAAGTGAACAGAGGTGGTGGTTGTAGATGGGAGGAATTTCAGTCATGGTAATGATGCAAAAAGTGTAGGATTTGTTGTAGGACTGATGATCTGTTATGTAAACCTTTACTCAATTCACAATAGAAAGTTTAAAGAGAAAACTCAGCAAGTAAGACAAACCATGCTGAGATGAAAAAAAAGATTATCAGTGTGATTATTAATTGTAGTTTGAGTGAAAGCAAATTCATTTTCCAATTAACAATGTTTATACATTTTGTTTCATGTCATTAATTACAATCCCTTTAATGTGGTAATGACATTCTTCCCACTTCTCCCTGAGTTTCTCTGATCCAGTGTTCTTTTAGAAAGCCAGTTAATAGAGGTATTTTAAAGATATTTGCAAAAAATATGTAGCTAACACTACATTTCTATTTTTTGTTTTGAAAACTGTTGATTTTTCATAAATATATGTTATTTATGTTAACATTACTGTAATTTTTGAATGGTTTGGAAATTTTTTAACAAGTCAAACTGAAGTATTTATAGCTGTAGGAAATAGACACCTCTAAAACAGACATAATCCATGTAAGAAAATACCTACCTTTTGAAGTGCTTATCATGTATTTATATTTATTTGTGGTTCTTAAATTTGTTTTAATAAAATTTATATTTCAAGGTTTTTCACTCCATTCAAGAGACATGCATTGAACTTCTGAAGATAGTTGAAAAATATCAGCTAAGACTCAATGGTATGGAATCATAGTATCTGTCAGTTAATTCTCATTTAAACGAAATATTAGTGTTAATTTTTTTAAAATTAAAGATTTAATGTAAAAGGGTAGTTTATTAAACCATTTTGTGAGGTTTCTTACTGCAAAATATAAGTATTCAAAGTGATTCATTCTCAAAGCCCCTCCAAAACCCTATCTTGCAGTTGATTCTGACTTTTAGTGACACTGTGGTCTTTCTGGAGTCCTGATACGGCGCTGTGGCTTAACGTGCTAGACTGCAAGGTTTGAACCACAAGGCCAGCAGTTAAAACTCACCAGTCACTTCTTGGAAACCCTATACAGGGTCACTATGAGTCGGAATCGACTGGACAGCACTTAACAACAACAATGGGGTTTCCAAAGTTATAAATCTTTATAGATTTATAATCTCCCATGAGTGACTGGTGGGTTCTAATTGCCAACCTTTTGTTAGCAGGTGACCACTTTAACCACTGTGTCACTAGGGAACCTTTCAAAACCCTTGTTGTGAAGTGCTGTGAAGTTGGTTCCGACTAATAGCGACCCTGTGTAGGGTTTCTGAGAAGCAACTGGTGGGCTTGAACAACCAACCTTGTGGCTAGCAGTCCAGTGCTTATCTTATAACACCACACCATGTGTCCTGTACCTAACAACATAGCACTTAAGATATTCAAGATCCTGTGTATTTTATCTCTGGTTGTTCTTTCCACTATTAGAACATGCTCTTTAATCTCTTTTATTTTGTTCTCTGCCCCAGAGTTTATGAATAGTGTCTGCAATGTAGTCAGTACTCAGTGTTTTATTCAATGAATGACTGAATTTCTTGTGAAGCTATGTAAATGAATCTTACCACTTTATAATCAAAGCTCATATATGGTCTCATTAGAGCAATAAATCCAGTAGCATGATTGTTGTTGTTAAGTGCTTTTGAGTCAGTTCTGGCTCATAGCGACCCTGTATAGGGTTTCCACGGAGTGGCTGGTGAGTTTGAACTGTTGACCTTTAGGTTCAAATTGACCTTACGGTCTAGTGCATTATCCCACAGTGCCACACATGATTACTCAAATATTTTTTGAGTACCTGCTATGTGCAAGGCTCTATGCTTTCCACAAAGAAATAGTTTGGAAACAGCTTTCCGTAACATAATAAGAGATGACAACCAATAATATAATAATGGTGGTACAGACATAACTTAGAATCTATGAGTGAAGAATAACTATGGATTAAAGTAAGTCATAAAGGCAACTTTTCAGATAATAATTGAAGTAAAACTTATATAAACATATAAATTGAGTATGTGGATAAAGAAGAGATTTGGAGTCAGGGGAGTGAGTTTGGAGAGCGAAAGCAGCCTAAGTGGGCAGAAGAGTTTGTAATTGGGAACTATAGGGGCATTAGGGGGAGAAGAGCAAGAGTTAGATTACTAAGGATTTAAACTATTTAATCAATAAATAAAGACATCATTCACATTTATTAGATCAAGAGAGTCTTGTGAGAGAAGTAGAAAAGTTTTTTTAAAAAATTGGCTGGCTTATGTGTCTTGCATTTTGCTCTGAAATCACTAGATCTTTTGGCACTTGGTGAAGCATTTCAAGACCAGAGAAGCACATGGAGATTTCATTGTATACTTTGTCTTTGAGATTATGTATAATACGTGATGTCTTGAACTTATATTTTGTTAATACATTAGACACATGACATAGAGTAGCCCAGCACTCTTAAACTCTTATGTGAATCACCTGACTGGTTGAAGAACACGTGGCAGTGTTCTGTTGTTTTTGGCAGCGGATCCTCACAGCATCGTCTCTTACATTGACAGGGCTTTCTTAATCATCATATGCAAGTTATAATTTTTTCTCATGGTTTTCTTTGAGGTGTGTTTTATGAAGCTCTGATTCAAAGAAAATATATAATCTGTACCCCTCTCAAGTAATCAGAATAATAATGTGAATCCCCAAATCCATTCACTCTATATTAGGTTAGTTGTTGATAATGCAGCACATGGCTTTATTAAAGATAATACTGTAGAATACGTAGACACTCTTCCTCATAATGCCATTTCCCTCTCCTGGGGTCACCCTTGTAGGCACAGTGGGAGAAGGTTTGGCAGTGGGGAGACACAGTAAGGGAGAAAGTCTGAGTTCTCTGGTTTCCTCAAAGTATTCAGCGACTTCCTTTCAGTTTCTAACTTCCCTTTTTCTATCAGTAAATTAGGGTGACTTTAGGTATAACATTAATTATCTTTTTGTTCTTTTCCCACTTTAACCTTAGGGTTTGAGCACTTATTGGGGTTTGTCCCTTGTTAGTCTTACTGTGTCTAGTGTGTATCACACCATATCAGTGCTTCTAAAACTATACCTGGTGGAAGGCCAGTTTTGTTTTTTTTTTCACTTTTAATCAGTTGTAAACTGAAATGTTTTATAAAATTTGGTAAAAATGTTTTACTGAAAAAATGCCAAAGAGACATTTTTAGTATTAGATTTAACAGATACAAAATAATCAAATTAGTAAACATTTCTAGACAGTTACTCTCTGTTCCTGTTTTGTCATAAGTCTATTGCTATTGAATTGATTCCAATTTCTGGTGACCTCATGCATGGCAGGATAGTACTATGCCCTGTGGGTTTTTAATGGTTGAGTTTTTGGAAGTTGATTGTCAGGCCTGTTTTCATCTGGGTGCCTCTAGTAGACTTAAATAGCCAACCTTTCAGTTAGCAGCTAGACACAGTAACCATTTGCACCACCCAGGACTCCAGCTGGCAAGTGGCTCTAGACTGGCCCTGCTCTGTGGACATGCTCTGACTAATAGTGCACTCGATGGCTACATTTAGCATCGCAGTGGACATCCAGGGGTCTGGGATACTGAGCTTAAGAAAGGAAAGCCAGGATTGGGAGTCCAGAACAAGTTTAAACAAGAAACGAATACTTTGGAAAAAATAATAATCTTAGAGCATAATTCTATACACTTGAAAATGTACAATTTGTGGTTTGTGTTTATTTTATTAACCAGTTGGGGTTTATTTTGATCATCAAAGGGAAGTCCATGGGGTCCCTGCATCAAAATCATCTGAAGCACTTGCAAAAAGATCTCCAGACCCCACTCCAGATGTGTAAAATCAGAATCTTTGGAAATGGAGCTCAGGAACCTGCATTTAAAAAACAAGTCTCTCTGCTTCCTCCTTCAGATAATTCCTATGTATAGAGAATTATTGCTGTGAGAATTTAAATTGAGCATGTATTTTAAAGAAATGATCAAATGAAAAAAATAGCTGTGCTGTAATTTTTTTCTAGTTATAGCAGAGGAAGAAAATGAGCTAGGGCTCTTTTTGAAGTTTCAAGCAGAACGGGATGTAACTCAAGCTGGCAAAATAATGGATGCTACTGGCAAGGCACTCTGTTCTTCAGCCAAGCAAAGGTTGGCCATGGTTTTGCACCGTCCTTAAATCTGTAGTGAACATGACAGTTTTGACTTATGTACCAAAATTTGCATATTTGTAAAGGTCACTGACTATTCCAGTTGTGAGTAAAAGAAAGCTATATTGCAGTATATAATTGTTTTAATATTAGCCATTAAGTATTAATTTTATATTTAAAGTAATTGTTTAAAAAGTTGAAGATATTGGTTGCTTAGTTCCTAGGAATAGCTTTTAAGCCTCATTTAGATTTCTTCAGTGGTTTCGTGTAAAACAAAAGTTACAGAACTAACATTTAAGTATGTATATTTTCATTGTATCTTTCACTTTTCCTTGATTTTATAGGTTGTTGTGTCTTTGTTTTTCCTAATGGAAGACTTTCTTTTTCTTTCTTTTTTTTTTTTTTTTAAGTTTTTATTTTGAATTGAATGCTTGTTTAAATGGGAGAACATCAGTTTTACATTCATTGTTTCATTGCAATGATTACAGTCCCCTCCATGCATTATCATTCAACAGTATTTGCTTCTATTCCTTCTATTATTTGGGGGTGGGGATGTACACCAAAACACTCAGGAATATATGATCATTTAAACAACCAAAGGATACATTCTGCAAGCCTGCCTCTTGGCCACCAGCCAACAGTCTTTCTCTTTCCATGAGTCTAGAGTTCTCAGCTGCTCTACCTCTCCATGTCCTCACTCTGCCTCCATCTGGTATCGCTCCTTCTCTGGATAGGGTTCCACATTCTGCTCATGCTCTTCTCCCTTGATGGTCCTAGAGTCCTCTGTTCTTGGAATATAAGATAAATGACTCCACCCTTTATGTTACAAAACTTCTACCTTTACAGTTGTGATCATTCATTGCAGTTAGTCATGATAACAACTACTCACTATTGAATCCTAAGAATCTTATCCCCATCTCCTTCCACCAGACCTGTCTAGACAAGATGAAAACCATTTAGTGAGGATTCTACCTTCCCCCGCACACTCTGAAACTATAAACTCCCTCTTAAAAACTTGTAAGCCAATCACTTTGTGCCTTTATAGCCCCCTCATTGTAGGTAGCCAATGTCTAAGTTGCTCGTCCCTATCTCCCCTGCATATAGAGGGGGTAGGATGAAGACTTCCTCCCTCTCAGTTGGCATTTTGAGCTCCTACAGCCATAAGTATAGGTCAAGTTCATCAAATTGTAGCAACTTACACTTGTTTCCTTTATCAAATTTTTTTATCTTCTTTTAGTGGAGCTGTGATCTTCAAGCCATTGAAGCTAGGTTAAATGGGTACTGTCTGAAAGTTTGGGTGTTCTTGTGTGTCTCCTCTAGCTTCATAGTAGCTGCGCACTCCACTCTCAGCTCTAGCCCTCCATGGCTATGTCCTTGTCCATGGGCTCAGGAGACCGCAAGTCTCACCATACTTCGGACCAACCAGCCCTTCCTCTTCTCTCTTTCATATCCAGGTCAACAGGTGTCTATGGAACGTTTCTTGCTTTTCTTGCCGTCTATTTATCTTTTTGTAACTTTTTTGCATAACAATACTTGCTGCAAAGAATCTCCTATAATTACTGAGTATAGCCCAAATCATTATATTTTAGAAGGAAAATAAAAACAGGACTATGAGACAGTACTGCCAATGTCCAACTTTAGTGGCTTTATTCTGAAATAGCACATCAGTGCAAAAGTGCATCTTGAAGGTACCGATAGGATGATACTAAGTATAGGGCCTTCTGATGACATTAAGTCAAAAGCAGAGCAGAGTAGCTGGGTTTCATCTTTCTCTTTTTTGTTTTTAATTGTTAGGTATATATGGAATAAGAAATCACTGTTCTCTTGTTCTCATACTTAGCTGCTAAGAACATGATTCTCATTAGTACTCCTAGTATTTTATCTACTCTTTTATACCCAAGGCATCATCCCTAAATTGTCAAATGAAAGACGACTTCCTATTTATAGGATTATGCTTTATGAATGTAGGGCCTCTATTACCCATGGAACACTTTTCTAAATGTCATATTTATATGGCAGGTTATTTGTACATGGATTGATACTCAGAGTTTATAAAAATTAATGTATTTTTTAAAAATGAGATTAAAAACAATTTTTTATTAACATTTCAAAGTAGGTTAGATGATACTTATTCTCTTTGTAAAGTTTCTCAGGCATAATAATACCATCATATTCGTAGACTCATTTTGACAGCACATATGATTTATGGCTATTTTGTAGCTTTGGTTTGCGTATACAATATACATCTCTCTGATTTTCATCTCTTTATCATTAGATTAGCCTTGTATACACCCCTGTCTCGTCTTAAACAAGAAGTAGCAACATTCAGCCAAAGGGCAGTATCTGATACGTTGATGACAATTAATCGGATGGAACAGGCACGCACAGAATACAGAGGAGCTCTGCTGTGGATGAAAGATGTATCCCACGAACTGGACCCGGACACCTTAAAGCAAATGGAAAAGTTCAGAAAAGTATGAAAATATATTATTATCTTTTTCCTGATAAATACACCACTGGAACTGTATAGAATAATTTAATCAACTTCATAAAATGACAGGCTATTTCTAGGAAAAATGTGTTAGATTATAAACCCTTGATTGCTTTAAGATCTTTGGTTGAAGAATTAAATACTGCCACATGTTTTTGTGTTTTTTTTTCATTCCATCAACCTGGTGTTTTTTTTTTTTTTTTTCCCTTTTAACTTTTTATTGTGAATTAGGTGAAGGTTTACAGAACAGATCAGTTATTCATTCAACAATTCAAACACATTTTGCTTCATGCCATTGATAACAGTCTCCGCAATGTGATATCACTTACTCCACTTCCTCTCTGTTTCTTGTTTCCATTCCTCCTTCTTTCCTAGTCTTTCTGAGCTTTATCCTTGGATAAAGGTTGCCCTTTTGATCTCAGATGGTTGATGTGATAGTTAAGGTTTTGTGTTAATTTGATGGGCCATGATTCACAGTGGTTTGTCAGGATATAGTAATCGCCTATGAGACCTAATATAATGTAACAACTTCCACGATGAAATCTAATAGAATGTAATCAGTTCCATGATGAGCTCTGTTGTGAGTTGTCATTCAGCTGAAAGGGAGTTTCCTCTAGGGTGTGGCCTGCAACATCTTTCATCTTACAAAAGATAAAAAGACAGAAAAGTGGGACCTACTATCACCAAGAAAGAAGAGCTAGGAATGGAGTGTGTCCTATGGACTTGGGCTACCTGTACTGTGAAACTCTTAGATCCACAGATGCCAAAACATACAGAGATCTCCAAGTAATTATGGGCCTACAGATAGTGAAAGGAAACAAGGACCTTTCTCCAGAGCTGCATTCTTATTTGGACTTCTAGCCTCCCAAATTATGAGAGAATGAATTTCTGTTTGTTAAAGTTGTTCACTAGTGCTGTTTCTGTTACAGCAACACTAGATTAACTAAGACAGTTGATTATTCTAAGGTGTATATGCCTCACTAGTGTTATTGTTTCTCTTATAAACCTATCTATTGTTTGGCTGAAAATTGAGCCATAAGGGTGAGCTCATTTCCAGACCTGCAGGGTGGCAAAGGGCCATAGTCTCAGGGGTTCCACCAGTCTCTAACTGACCAGTAAGCCTTGCCTTTTATGATTTTGAGTTTTGTTCCACATTTTTCTCCCACTGTATCAAGGACCTTCTGTGATCTCTTTCAGAGCAGTTGGTAGTGGTAGCCAATCATCATCTAGATCTTCTAGCCTCAGGGTCATGGACACTGATGTTTGCATGGTCCATTAGTTCACTGGACTAATTGTTTCCTTGCATCTTTGATTTTCATCACTCTTCTTTCCTCTGGACAGGAAGAGATGATTAATTACACCTTAGTTGGTTACTCATGAGCCTTTAAGAACCCAGTCACTATTCTCCAAAGCAGGATGTAGAACATTGTCTTTGTGGACTGTGTTACTCCAGTTGACTTTGTTGGCCCCTTAATACCGTGATCCTGAACCCCTAGGCTCTGTGATTCAGTCCCTCAAGGTGCTTGGTTATCCTATTAACTTCTTTTATTTATTTCTTTTTGTCCTCTTTGTAATAGATACCATGTTACTGGTGGTGGTTAAGTGCTGTTGAGTTGGTTCCAACTCTAGGGACTCTGTAGGGTTTCCAGGGCATGGCTGGTAGGTTTATACCTCTGACCTTGCAGTTAGCTGTCTAGTGCTTATCCTACAGCACCATACCACGACTCCTCTAATAGATCTAAATACTCTTAAATGTGGATTACCTGGAATTTTAGGATTTGTTTGCAAAAAGAAAATAATTTACTACTGAGGAAACAATTTTAATTTAAATAAAGTTTCATGTAAAATGATTAGGAGCTGTAAGAAAAAGAAGTTATCAAATTTTTCATTCTGTCATAACAAAGTTAGACCACAAACTTTTAAAGCAGTTCTCTGTGTGTATGTGTATATATATATATGTTTTTTTTGGTTTTTTTTTTGCTGCATGGTGTACTTTATTGATGGTACATGACAAGACTGGGCTCTCTAAGCCCCTCCCCTTCTCCAGGGGGTCTGGATGGAAACTGCGGATGGGAGCTTCTCAGTGTGTAGGGGGATTAGAGTTGGGATAAGGACTCCCAGCAGCTGAGGGCCTCTCTCTTCCTCTAGTGCTGTTGCTGGGGCTGGTGGTCCAGGGGGCTCTTATTCTTTGGAGGCCATGTGGACCATAAGATCCACCACCCACCATAAGATCCACCACCCTGTTGCTATAGCCGAATTCATTGTCATACCAGGAAATGAGCTTGACAAAGTGGTCGTTGAGGGCAATGCCAGCCCCAGCATCAAAGGTGGAAGAGTGGGTGTCACTGTTAAAAGTCACAGGAGACAACCTGGTCTTCAGTATAACCCAGGATGCCTTTTAGGGGTCCATCTGATGCCTGCTTCACCACCTTCTTGATGTCATCATATTTGGCAGCTTTCTCCAGGTGGCAGGTCAGGTCCACAACAGACACATTAGGAGTGGGGATATGGAAGGCCACGCCAGTGAGTTTCCCATTCAGTTCAGGGATGACCTTGCCCACAGCCTTGGCAGCACTGGTATATGCAGGGATGATGTTCTGGGCAGCCCAACGGCCATCACGCCACAGTTCCCCAGAAGGGCCAACCACAGTCTTCTGGGTGGCAGTGATGGCACGGACTGTGGACATGAGTCCCTCCACGATGCCACAATTGTCATGGATGACCTTGGCCAGGGGGGCCAAACAGTTGATGGTGCAGGAGGCATTGCTGACAATCTTGAGGGAGTTGTCATACTTCTCATGGTTCATGCCCATCACAAACAGGGGGGCATCAGCAGAAGGGGCAGAGATGATTACCCTTTTAGCACCACCCTTCAAGTGAGCCCCAGCGTTTTCCAAGGTTGTGAAGACACTGGTGGACTCTACAACATATTCAGCACCAGCATCACCCCACTTGATATTGGCGGATCTCACTCCTGGAAGATAGAGATGGGCTTCCCATTGATGATAAGTTTCCGTTCTCAGCCTTGACAGTGCCATTGAACTTGCCATGGGTGGAATCATGTTGTTGTTAAGTGCCGTTGAGTCGGTTCCAAACCATAGCGACCCTGTACAGGGTTTCCAAGGGTGTAAATCTTGGAAAGCCTCATCTTTCTCCCGCGGAGTGGCTGGTAGTTTCGAACCGCTGACCTTAAGGTATGCAGCCCGATTCGTGACCACTACGCTACCAGAGCTCCTTGGAACATATATACCATGTAGTTGAGGTCAATGAAGCGGTTGTTGATGGCAACAACCTCTACTTTGCCAGAGTTAACAGCAGCCCTGGTGACCAGGTGCCTAATACAGCCAAATCTGTTGACTCTGACCTTCACCATCTTGTCTCAGGGATGCGGCTGGTACTGCAAGAGAAGTTGCAACTGCCTGTCGAACGGGGAGGAGCAGAGAGCGTGTGTATATCTTTTTGCTGTATAAATTCCTTATAAATTTCATCCTATAAATTTGCCAAAATAAATAATAAAATTTATTCACTTCTTCTATTCACAAATATTTAAGAGTACCTATCCATGGCACATAACAACAAGGATAAAAATACAGTATTTAATATTGATGGAGCTTTTACTTATGTCCTCTGTTCTATGTGACTTACTTCATTAATATTCCTAAAGCCCCTGTGAGGTAGGTGGACACCTCTCTATTTCAACCTTGTTATAGTTTGTGACAATTAGAATATAATCCAAGCAGTTTATCCAAACCGTAAACTCTGCACATTCTGATCCCTGAGCCCTCTGCAGCCTCATCTTGCACTTGCTCCCTATCCTCAAGCCCTCCACTGTTTGTTCCTGTGTATAATGCAGTTAGCTCTTTCCCTATCAGGCCCTTGGTCCTTGCTCTTCTCTGAGCCTAGAATGCCTCTCCAGAGTCTCAGCATGGCACATCACACTTGTAATCTTTCAGTCTCAGTTCAAATGTCATCACAGTCTTACCAGAGGGTTCCTTGATGTCTTATCAAAAGTAGTCACTCCATTTATATTCACTTATTTATCTTTGAAACCTGAAATTCTTACATATTTGTTTACATCTTTTTTTCTGTACCTCTCCACTTGTGGTTGGTGGAGGAGAACTTTGTTTTGTCTGCCACAGTGACCCCAGTGCCTGGCATATAACAAATGTCTTATCAACAATATTTGTTGAATGAATGAATCAGTATATTTAAAAGTTGAATATTCACATATGGCTCAGTATATATCTATGTAATATGATAGTACTGTATTTAAATTTATAAGTATATATGCACAATTCAGAACTATTGTTGCTTCTCGACATTTTAACTTATGTTGCCTCTAGATTTATTCTTCTACTCTTATCTAAGGAGCTCTGGTAGTGTAGTGGTTATGATTTCGGGCTGCTAATCTCATGGTCAGCAGTTGGAAACTACCATTGGTTCTGAATGAGGATGAGGCTTTCTGCTCCCGTAAAGATTTACAGCCTCAGAAACCCTGTACGGGTCACACTGAGTAAGAACCAACTCCATGGCAC